GTACTTTCTGTTTAGGGTCTTCATGTCTTAATCCTGCATGCAGGCACTCATACTGTATATTTAAAGTGTCCAGTTAACCTAGCATGCACATATCTGGCATTTGGAAACTCCATGCCTCGTTCTAAAGCAATAGTTTAAATTACTTTTTTATTCACAACCCAGCCTTCTACCCAACCAAGCATCCTTTAAGTTGGCCTGCAATGTAGGACTTGAATTCCATGTCCTTGATTCAACCCTCCTCCATCCATTTCTCCACCTCTATCAAAAGTTCCATCTGTCCCCTTCTTCACTCTGCTTCCGCCCTCCTTCTATCAGACGATTCATCTGGTTTTACTGCATTCAGGAGGCATCCCCAACCTGCCCTGCAGAAGACTGCCATGTTGAGCCTGGTTCTGCCAGAGATTTGTTTTTTCTCTCCACTGTCGCTCCATGCTTGCTTAACTCCGTTCATATGAACCGGTGCCTCATTCAAGCCGTTATTCATCTTCATTCTATCTCCGTTCCACCACCAGCTCCAGGTCTGGGGGTAATTATCCTCCTTCTCATTCATCAGCTCATGCCTGAGATTAAAGTAAAACTTCAGCACTGCTGTTTCGTGCCGAGGTCTGAGCGCCAAAGATTTAAATATTGTATCTATAGAATTCTTTCCTTCTTTGTTTGTGAGTGTTCCATGTTTAAATTGCATTGAAAACAATGAACGATCATTTTTTGGTTTAAATACAATAAAAGGTCAGATGAAAAAAATTGTTGGTCACCTTCTTTATGTTGCATAGAACTTTTTCACAGTTTTTTATTTTATGTATGTTTAACTTGTGTTTTTTAAATTTTTTTATTGAACTTTATTGATCTCACACTGGAGATATATATCCAATCCCCTTGGGGAGCAGTGGGCTGCCATTGTGCGGCGCCCAGGGAGCAGTTTGAGGTTAAAAGTCCTGCTCAGGGACCCAGAGTGCAGGCTTTGGGGATCCAACTGGATACTTGCAACCTTCTCAAAGCACAAGCGCACTGCTCATAGAAATGTTGTCTAGAAGCTTGTGCGTGGTTATTAGTCGGCCATTCGGCATTCTGGGTATTCAGACCTACTACTGTATAGGACAGTCCTAACATAAAGTAATACATTTCTCCTTGGATTTGTTGATAAGTTTAGAATTTGAAACAAAGGATTGAGGTGAATAGGGGAGCATCTTGAAGTGAACCTTCTCAAAAAGCTTTGATTCTTTAGTTACTTTTAGTGGCCCTTCCTTTATTCTGCTCTGTTCCTTTGACTTGAAAGAGGAGTTTCAGATCTAAAGATCTTTATCCTCTTGGGATCTTTCATCCTCCCATTGCTCGCTCTGCTGTCCTTTCTACTTTCTGTGATAATGACATATTGCAGGCAGTGCCAGGAGCACGCAGTTCTGTAAGCCATCTGACACACGACTCATCTCACAATTTACCAAAAGATTGCTGCTCTGGAAACAGTGTCTTTCTGATTACATAGCAACAGCAGTAGCTGCAGCCAGCGCCTGTCAAGAGCACGTGTTTTAGCTTTGCAAGCTGAGGAGGCCAAGTCCAGTGTCTTAAGTATGTGTTTGTGTATGAGTCTGACAGAGATGAAGGGAGAGGCCCAGAATGAGACAAGTGCATCTGGAATGAATATAGTATTATCACCAGCAATTTATACGTGCCGAGTACTGGCAGGTAACTCAAATATGGTATAAAAGTCTATAAAAGACGCTCTGTTAGCTTTAATAAGAATAATATTCCATTAGTCTTTCTTTGTGTGAATCTTTTCTCTGATGCTGTCAATTCACTTTTAGTATTTTTAGTCCAGAGAAAGGAGTGTAAAACTATTTTGTTAGTGCATAGATGGAACACTGATTGATGCACATGCATTTAAAAGATGTTGTTTTTATTATAATTAGTAGCTCAGATGTTTAATTGTAATAGACTCCTCATGTACGAGGGTTTACTTGCAGTCTGAAAACGTCTGGAATTCCATTCACATATTTTCTAGGCCTGAATGGACCAGGAAACTGGCATGGAAAAACATTCATCCATTTTTTTCTTTATGCTTCCTTCCATCCTTCTTCCTTCCACCTTCCAATCTCTAGTCTTTCCAAGTTTTTTAAACCAGGGCTACTGTAAAATATATTTGCAGTCTGAGCAAACTCCAGTAATTACATTTTTTAGAGTGAAGTACAATAGCACCAACAACTAGACATGTTTAATCTTTTTAGGTGTGAACTTCTGGCTTCAAAGGTCTATTAACTCCAAACAACACATCAGAAGACTTAGAGTTAGACTTAGACAGTACTTTATTGATCCCTTGGGAAGACTCCCTCCGGAAATTAAGGTTACCAGCAGCTTACAGGGCAAAAAAGTATTAAGTTAAATTAAGTTAAAATTATAGTAAAAATTATATATATGTATATATATATATATATATATATATATATATATATATATATTTCCAGATTACGTACAGTGTATGTAATAGGAGTTGTGTGTATGTAATTTAGGAGAATGTTAATAATAGTCTTTTTAAACTGATGTCCTGCATGTTTTGGATACATGTCTGGTTAAGATCACCTTGAACAAAAAAATTGGTTCATTACAAGACTTCAGTAAATTGCAAATAAGCTGTGCAGTTTGTTCAGCCATCTGAATCGGCTAAATGAAGGCAGGAACACTCATAAAATGCAACAGCTTATGTGCTAAAATATATGTTATATATGTTAAGGTGCTGATAATGTTTAAATACTTTCTGTTTATAGTCCAAACAGAAATACTTTTTATAGATATAACCTTATCTCTCTCACAGATGTCTCACTATCTTAGAGTTGATGTACCAACCCAAGAGGGTTGCTTACTTTTAGATGCATGATGGGAGATTTTTCCACTGACAGCTGTGGTCGGTGAGGTTGACCGAGGATTCTTTTTTTCTTTAGTCCAAACACACAATCTATCTCCATTTAGATGTCTTCATCCCTGCATTCCTCCCTGCAAGGCTGTGTCAGTGTTTATGCAAGACTGGTATACATAAGGAACAAAACTGGAATGAACAGCATCTCATTTGATTAATTAATTTTTTTCATCTCTGTCATTTCTGGGATAGACGTTTGTGGATGTCCTGATGTAACAGAACATCCCCAGCTCTGCTGTCAGGTCCGATGTTTGCTCCTCAAGCAGCACCGAAAGGATCGGCCCTGATATCGCGCTCATGCTGGAGCTATCGGACTCCTTCCAGCACATCCACAAACACTCAGATGTTGGATTATAGCTTGCTTCAGCTGGAGCCTCTATTGGTCAAATTACTGACCAGCAGGAGGCTAATCACACTTAACAATCTGGTGTTTGTTAAAGCAACCCAGCCTTTACACCTGTCTTAAAACGGTTGTATTCACCAACTCTTGTTTGTTTAAGGTTTTTAAATTAACTACATAATTTATCCTGATATGCAGACCTTTTCGCATTTTAACATTGTGTAGAGGCTGTTTATTTGTTTATTAAAAGTCTTGCCTATTGTTATGCTCTTTAAAGTCCGCTCTTTTAGAAATGTTTAGCTTTCAGTGTATTTATGTGTGTGTGTCCCTTACTTCAGCTTTGTGGGAATGTAAAAATTCCTCTGGTGATTTAGATTCCCTCTGAAAACATTTGATTCTGAGAATTAACAGCCTTGGATCTTAACTCGGTGCAATTTGATGGGATGAATTTGATGCGGCTTGTTGCTTTCAGGCCACAAAGAATGTTATTCATGTTATTCATCTGTCAGCTTCCCAATCAAACTAGGAGGGAGAGTTATATGGGGACAGGAAGGCTGGAGATGGGGCCTGCTTTGGCTTATCTGAGATTTAAACACTCATATATCTGATTATAAATACCTTTCTTAATCACACAATTACAAAAGATAATTCCTTATTCCTTGTTTTCTTGCATTTTCTTTCTGCAGTTGTTTTTTTCCTTTTACTTCACCCTCTATATTTACCTTCTCTGTGACCCTTTTGGTCCTCTGATTGGTTAGACTGCAACACTTGGTTCGCAAAAGGACCAATGAGAGAGCTCATTACATCTGAGGAGCAACTAATTGGTTAAACTGGTTCTCATGTGCTTATAGATCAGAAGGGTAAAAGCAAGAAGCAACATAAAAAAATCTTTATTTATAATAAAATAAACAAATGCTCCTTTTATTATTCAGAATAAAATTGCATTAAAACACATCATGTAAAAATTATGAGATGCACAACTGAGTATTAGACATCCCATTATAAAGTTAAAGATATTGTGGAGGATTTTTCCACATTTTTTAAAAGACCCGCCACTTCACGTTGGAGGTTAGAAAGAAACACATTTTTCAAACATATCAAGGTTACTGTATGATCCGAAATGAGCTGCACTGAAGCCCAGAATCATCTTCCTGTATTTCAAAATATAGTCAATGAAGTCGAAATTACTCAACTCATGTTATCTTGGTTCTAAATCAAAAATGTTTTCATGTTTTGATTATTATATTTATTTTGCTTCTTAGTTTTTATTTGTATTTCATTATGTGGGAAAATAATAATAATTAAGAAAGGGATTAAATACTATTCAGTTTTAAGGTTTTCATACCTAAACTATCTACACCTAAATTACCATATAAGGGAAACTACCATTTAAACATTAATGACTGCCATACAATAAAAATAATGACCTGAGAGCTCCATCAGGTAAAGAAACAGGCACAAATACCAAATGCTGCTTTTAGACTTTGTCGATGCTAAAGTAAGGGTTTTAAATAATTTTTGTGTTCAAATAATAATAGTCCTAACATATTGAAATATTTCAGGTTAATGTTTCTAAAAGTTTCAGGCTGAGATTCACTTGAATTGACCTTAGGAGGTCAATACCTCATGAAGTTACAACTTTCCTTTATATATCTTTGCATGAACTATTCATTTATCCTAATCTGCTCTGGATAATATATTTCAAAGAAAATTTTAATATAAAATATCTACCCTGGATTGTTTTCTTCACAGGCAAGAAGCGCTGCTGGCTGCCATAAGCGAGAAGGATGCCAACATCGCCCTGCTGGAGCTCTCCTCATCCAAAAAGAAGAGAACCCAGGAAGAGGTGGCAGCCCTGAAGAGGGAGAAGGATAGCCTGGTTCAGCAGCTCAAACAGCAGGTAAGATGGAAAGCTCAGGCCTTGCATCAGCAAGCTTCCGAGCAGAGATATTTGATCAGGTTTAAAGATAACCAAAGGGGACCAGGGATGGAAAAATGACAAAAGAAGTGGTAAATACAGGTGCTGGTCATAAAATTAGAATATCATGAAAAAGTAGATTGATTTCAGTAATTCCATTTAAAAAGTGAAACTTGTATATTATATTCATACATTACATACAAACTCATATATTTCAGATGTTTATTTTGTTTAATTTTGATGATTACAAATGACAACAAATGAAAATCTCAAATTCATCATATCAGAAAATTAGAATATTACTGAAGACCAATAAAAACAAAGGATTTATAGAAATGTTGGCCAACTGAAAAGTATGAACATGAAAAGTATGAGCATGTACAGCACTCAGTATTTAGTTGGGCCTCCTTTGGCCTGTATTACTGCAGCAATGCGGCGTGGCATGGAGTCGATCAGTCTGTGGCACTGCTCAGGTGTTATGATAGCCCAGGTTGCTCTAATAGTGGCTTTTAGCTCTTCTGAATTGTTGGGTCTGGTGTATTGCATCTTCTTCTTCACAATACCCCATAGATTTTCTATGGGGTTAAGGTCAGGAGAGTTTGCTGGCCAATTAAGAACAGGGATACCATGGTCCTTCAACCAGGTACTGGTAGCTTTGGCACTGTGTGCAGGTGCCAAGTCCTGTTGGAAAATGAAATCTGCATCTCCAAAAAGTTGGTCAGCTGCAGGAAGCATGAAGTGCTCTAAAACTTCCTGGTATGTGGCTGCGTTGACCCTGGACCTCAGAAAACACAATGGACCAACACCAGCAGATGACATGGCACCCCAAACCATCACTGACTGTGGAAACTTTACACTGGACTTCAAGCAACGTGGATGAAGTGCCTCTCTTCTTTTCCTCCAGACTCTGGGACCTTGATTTCCAAAGGAAATGCAAAATTTACTTTCATCAGAGAACATGACTTTGGACCACTCACCAGCAGTCCAGTCCTGTTTCTCTTTAGCCCAGGCAAGACGCTTCTGACGCTGTCTGTGGTTCAAGAGTGGCTTGACACAAGGAATGCGACAGCAGAAACCCATGTCTTTCATACGTCTGTGTGTGGTGGTTCTTGAAGCACTCACTCCAGCTGCAGTCCACTCTTTGTGAATCTCCCCCACATTTTTGAATGGGTTTTGTTTCACAATCCTCTCCAGGGTGCGGTTATCTCTCTTGCTTGTACACTTTTTTCGACCACATCTTTTCCTTCCCTTCGCCTCTCTATTAATGTGCTTGGACACTGAGCTCTGTGAACAGCCAGCCTCTTTAGCGATGACCTTTTGTGTCTTGCCCTCCTTGTGCAAGGTGTCGATGGTCGTCTTTTGGACAACTGTCAAGTCAGCAGTCTTCCCCATGATTGTGTAGCCTATAGAACTAGACTGAAAGACCATTTAAAGGCTTTTGCAGGTGGTTTGAGTTAATTAGCTGATTAGAGTGTGGCACCAGGGGCCATCAATTTTGAACCTTTTCACAATATTCTAATTTTCTGATATGATGAATTTGAGATTTTCATTTGTTGTCATTTGTAATCATCAAAATTAAACAAAATAAACATCTGAAATATATGAGTTTGTATGTAATGTATGAATATAATATACAAGTTTCACTTTTTAAATGGAATTACTGAAATCAATCTACTTTTTCATGATATTCTAATTTTATGACCAGCACCTGTAGATACAAAATAACGATAGAATGAACTTGAGGAAGGTGGGAGCCATATTTAGAGAGGTGTAAATAAAAAGCAAGGGAGCTCAGGTGAGGTGGCAGTGATGAGGAGAGAAAGGAAAACAAGGAAGGCAGCCAGAAAGTGAGTCCAGATGTGACCACAGCTCTCTAACCACCAGGAGAAAATTTAGCCAGTCTTTAACCCATATTTACTGGCAATACGGACTTAGATATTTGGATCAATGGACACATTTCCCAGATATACTCTAACAAAAGGCCTTGCATATCGAGTAATTCGCCACTGTGGGGTGTCGACACTATGTTCACACTCACCCAAGGCCAAAAGCAAAGCAATATACACGACCAAAAACCCTTGTGGTTGCAGAGGGCTGTATTCAGAGGTTGGGTTGTTCTTGGTAAAACTACTAATTTATAACACAAGACTAAAGTTTATTTTAGGTTAAAGTTACTGAACATGAGAAAAAACAGATTCAATTTTAAATGTTTTGTCTAAGAAAGTAGTATTGAGAATCTGAATCTGAGGTGGTGGTGAGTTTGGTGTTATAGAGAGTAGCTGTGTCCAATGAAATCACTTTAACAAGCATCCCTCATCTTCCACTTCCTTCCTCACACCATCTTGTCTATTTATGTTGCATATGAAGACATTTATGACACCTCAGGGCCCCCAAGGTGGTAACTGACAGCACAGAAGCCCAACTCTCTCTTCCTTTGGGTGGGTTTGTTTGTTTGTACAGTGTGAAAAGAGTTTTGCTAGAAGTTCAAGGTTTTCCTATCTAAAAACTTCTCTACTGCTGTCAAATTCACATAAAAAAAAAAACCTTTTCCGAATTATTACTGTATTTTGCAAACGTATTCACACACCTTTGAACTCTTTTCCACTTTTTACATTACAACCACAAACTTGAATGTATTTTATTGGGATTTTTTTTTATAAACCAACGAAAAATTATATAATATAACCGAGCCGTGGATGGAAATTTATATTTTCTTCAAAACCCCCTTCCAAATCGGTCAGCCAAAGAAAAGTCATTGTTAAAAGAAAGAAAGAAAGTAATTTTATGCTCTGTTTCAATTTGGCTCAAATGTTTGGAAGACACAAAGGCTGCTCTGCTCAGATGAAACCAAAATGTGGCTTTTCAATCTGTATGAAAAAAAACAATGAGATCTACTAAAGGTTTGCATTTATTAAGACATGCAAATGCGATAATGCGAGCAAAGGTAACCTGTTGACTAGATGCATCTGTGACACGAGGAAAATAACTTGTGCAATCCATTTAGCCTGTTTGCACCATAAATATACTGTATTTATGCTATCTATCAGATCATGCAAAATACTTGGAGAGGGCCATGAAAATGTAACCATTTAGCACCGACATGATTTATCAACCATGAGAGAATCTTATGTGTCAGGAAGAAAAATGATAATAGAGACATGTCTTCCAAAACTATGCCATTAATGAGCTGTTAATTTACCTAAGAGTTGATTTTGGACGATATTTGCGAAGATTCTCAGTCATCCATGTCGTGGTCAAGCTTGATCAAGTTCAGTCTAGAAAGCTGGAGTTGAAGTTTTATAATTTTTATTTATTTTTTTTTCTGTTTTTTTGGGGGGGGGGGGGTAGGATTGGAACCTTCAGGGGGAAAGGCCCAATTGGGGATGGCTTCTTGGAACCAACCCCTGGAAGTTAACAACTTTTTCAAGCTTATTTTAGAGGCGATCAGATATACAGTAGAATTCATTATGCTGTGTGGATGCTATTGCTTTTTCAGAGGATACAAACGGCTTGTTCAGGTTCACCCTCCAGGAGGAGCGTGAGTAATAAAATCAGAGCTAAGAGTAGATTGGTTCATATAAAAGCACATCCATGTAGCGAAAGGACCATATTGCTAAAGACTAGATCTTGATTCAAGCTGTGAATCAAGATCTTGTCTTGATATAAAGGACTTAAATAAATTACCTTAAAAAAAATTACTTTCAGTTGCTCTACCTCCATGCTGACTGCTCTGCAATCTCTATATGTGCCCCCAAAAGGCTGTGACTGAAATTATGTCCAAATAATCATTTTTGTCTGTTTTGAAGTCATGCACTGCAAAACTAGGCCTGTTCAGCTGGAATTGCAGAGTAGATATAAACTCCACTCATAAACCTGCATGAGAACGTGCTGTAACATAGCTTTGAAAACGACTTATTCTGAGCAGATGTGAATACCTGTAAGTGACAACATGTTGTGGTAAGACTTTCACCACACACATACCCCCCCACCCTCCTGTTTGTGTGATTAAAATGCAATTGGCCCTGAGAGCATTGCCTTTCTGTCAGCCTTTGACCCTTTCCTTCAGACAGCTGTAGATCAAGATGACCTCAGCTCTCCTCACTCTCTTCTCCACTGTCACAGTCTGCTTCCTCTCCAGCCCGTTTCATTTCTGCATGTTGGATCAGGAAGGGCAGAGATAAATTCTTGCAGAGTTTTAGTGAAAGCAAAAACATATGATTTGAAACGGCAAACAAGATGTTGAGGAATATCCTCTGTTCTGGCAAAAAAAACTTGTTCTTGTTAGACGTATTTTTTCTTCATGTTGCAAATAAACTGAGTTAGTCACGTATCCCAAAACCACTTGGAGCCTTTAAAATACTGAACTTTAATGACCATATAACGTTGTTATAATGGTATAGAACCAGGGTCTTTTTATTTGATTGACAAACTCTAATCTGAGGTCCATTACTCAAATTTTCCACTGTAGCAAAGTGAAAAGTCTTGGTCTAATTTAATTACTCTGCAGACACTTTGTCAGGATTAAATAACTCCCCACAGCACTATACTCAACTCCTTTCCCCCATCATTTTTAATTTTCCACTTATTAACAGTTGCCTTTTTTGATGTACAAAAATGGGTAAAGTAATTAAATGTGTTATCATGATAAAATAGTTTTTGAACAACTATGTCTCAGCAACTTTTCATTGCCCATGATTGCTTTGATATTTACAAAGGTTTTCCTTTGTCGATGAAAAGCTACAATACATGATAAAATAATCTGATGGAAAATTCCCCAGAGGCTTATCAAGAAGAAATAATTTAGTTCTGAGCCTGAGTCATCAGTTTGCCCCTCATTTCCTTTTTTTTTTTTTTTTTACTTGTTGTTCGGTTGAAGCAGAGACTGGGTCTGGGGGCGTTTGGAGTGGAGGGGAGATGGAGATGGAGGCAAAGGGAGGTCTGAGGGAGGAGGAGTGAAATAATGGTGTGATGATTAGATTAAGTGAGAGGGAGAATTGGCACAGGAGCAAGTGAGCTGAGGTCAGCATTCCTGACAATTAGAGAAATGGGAGAAGATGTAACAGAAAACCAGATAAAAAATTGGGACATTTTTTCTCAGCTTTGTCTCCTTTTGCATTAACCGTTGTCTACCTTTGTGATTATGATGATTTTCTATCATTTTACCTGCATTTAATTCTTAGAGGTAGAAGCTCTCCAAACCATGGCTCCTTTTGTATAAAAGTTTTAATTTATGCTACATCTTTTACATCATAATGGAGAAGTTTTTTGACCAGTTGTCTTTAAACTATTGTATTTGCTCACCTTTCAGTGTTTTACAATAAATCTTCTTTTTAACATCATGTAATAGTTTTGTAATCAAATCTAAAGCCGGACTTTGAATAGACCCCTCCAAAAATGAAATGTTATTTTGTTCATTCAGAGTTGGATTTAATTTCCGTCATTCGTTAAAAAAAACAAAATCAATCTTTCTTCTGGTCCTCAAACAGATGAGATCAAATTTAACATTTTTCTCTTTCCTCCTGTATGAAATCAGTGCCCACACTGACATGCAAAACTTGTCTGGTCTGTTCAAGCACAGGCTCCTTGAAGCGCTCACTGAGAGACTAAGGGGATTTAGATTGTACAACACCAACAGATTTGGACCCACGCCCTCCCTCGCTTTTTATCTCTAAATTCCCCCCCACCCCTCACACTTTACAGGCCTACTGTGAAACCCGAAGTATGACTAAAATGTGTGAAACCTGAAGCTGTGAGACAAGGAGAGGAAATGGAAAGAGGATCCTAGGAAGCCTACGGTTGGAGGAGTGAGGAGATGACAAGGTGATAATGGGAGAAAAGCAAGAAAAAATAGAACAGGGAAATGAGAAAATTAAATTGTGTGCTGATAAGTGTGATGTGTGATATATATACACTCACACACATGGACGTATATATATCCAGATAACTTGTTTGAGCTATGTAGCAGAAAAGTATTTAACCAATATGTTGCATTTAGATATAAAAATCTAATGGAGACATAGTTAAGTCTTGCTGCCTTGAATGCTGCTCAAGATTTTTGACTCAGGTAGACCAACATGAATGCACACCAGGCTTCTTAGGCATTATGGGCCTAATGTGCAGAAGGTCTATGTGTCTCAAAATAGGGGCAAACCTGTTTGTACGTGCAGAGCAGATCTTAAAAGAAGGTGCAAAATGATCAAGTGATTGGAGCTTTTTATATAGCATAAAGTGGGTGTAAGCTATTTAATGTTGGTTTCCTACATTAAAGGGAAGCGCTGTTTTTTTTTTTTATGTTGGGCCCTTGATTTTACGTTATTACATCATGTTCTACTCGCCCATATGAGTTTTGTGTCGTTTGGAGCTGTTCTGAAGATATTCCGTTAGGTTATATCCAAGTAACGTCTTCCTATGGGCAACAACTTGAAGACACGAACTAAACTTTTCATGATTTATCCTTTATGGTACGGCAGCATGAATGACATGTAGGCGAATCACTGTCCCCCAGACATCCGCGGTTATATTTTTGACTGGAGTTGTGACAGACAGCCACAGGCGGCTACGCTCTACCCCTTCTATTCATTCGGCGAGCTAATCTGAATCATTCAATTCCATTTCGAGAGCGAGATCATCTGTTGTAGTAGCACTAGACATCTTCCAGGCATGTGAGTAAAAGTAGCAGCAGTTCGGCAGACAGGAAGAATGAACAGTAGCCGGCGCGCGCTGATGACGTCATACACATGCCGCTTCTTTTTTGAAAGATATAAATATAAAAAAATATAACTGCGGATGTCTGGGGGACAGTGATTCAGTCATGACTCCAGTCATCTCATCAAGTCATCATGTTCAGATTGGACTCCCTTGATGAGTTGACTTGAATCTGGTGTGCCATTGCTTGGTTGGAAAGAAAACCTGCAGCCACACGGCCCTTTCTGGAACCAGTTTGACACCCCTGACCTACATGTTATGAATGCTGGCGTACCATAAATTATGGACAGTTTAGTTTATGCTTCAAGTATTTTGCCCATAGGAAAACACTACTTGGATATAACCTAACAGAATATCTTCAGAACAGCTCCAAATGACACAAAACTCATATGGGTGAGTAGAACATGATGTAATAACTTAAAATCAACGACCCAATGTAAAAAAAAACAAAAAAAAACACTGTTTCCCTTTAATATGCAGAGGACATTCTAATGAGCAAGCTGCACTATATTTGATGGGTGGAGGATATGCAAAGCGATTTTTAGAATTGGAAATTCTGCAGGAATATGGTACAAAACCAAAGTTAAATGTTTCTTATTTTCAACATCGTCATATGACATTGTTTCACCACAATTAGCTTCATTACCTTGTTGCTATTCATCTTTCACACAGCCACTGGAAACAGAAATATAGTTCAATCCAACTGCAGATGACCACGAGATCAGGATTTCACCACACTATGGTCTTTACCACTCTGGTGCTCATGGGAAATGCTGTCTTCATTCAGGCGAAACAGTACAGCTATTGTCCACTGGGGGGAGCCAACATCGGCCGAAACTGGAAGTTGTTTAGTACTACTTTAAGAAATCATGTTTGCCTTTCTTTCTGCAGACACAGAACAGGATGAAGCTGATGGCGGACAATTATGAGGACGACCATCTGAAGGTGGCTTCCCCAACCTCTGACCAGCCCAACAATCACAAGCCCTCTCCGGACCAGGTAACAACACCATAAGTTTGTTAAATCTCCTTAACTGTTTTGGAAGCCTTACCAAGATATGGTTTTAATACTACCAGAAAATATTATGACAAAACAATAACTGCTCATGCTGTACCCACAATATCTTTCCCTAACTAACTTCCTGCTTTTTCTGAACTCGCGCTACGGCTGGACTGAACTAACCAATAGGACGATGAGGAGGGCATTTGGGCCTAGCCAATCACATGCCTTCTTTCTCACCCTCAGTCTGCCATTTTGTACAGAAGGGTGAGCTTCTTTCACTGGATCTGGTCACTTTTTGGTGTCGTTCCTCTTTCATCCATGACTGAGATCACCGTCTTGCTTCTGTTTTCTTAAGTGTTTCTCTTTCATACATTTTTTTCACATTTTGTCTTGTTTTTCTAAATCTTTTCACTCTTTTCTTCATTTTATAATCAAGAAAACGTTTAATCTTGAAAATTCTACTGCATTTCCTGCTTATTTCAATAACTTCATTTTTTTTACCTGTCCAAATTTTTAAATCCACTTGGTCCTTGTCGTTTTTACACATCAGAGATCGTTCCATCTCACCATCAGTCTTCATCACTTTCCATTCAGATAAAGATGTTTATTTCTATTGTTTGTTTGTTTTTTGACAAGCTTTTTTGACAATAGTTTAGTTGCACATTTGTTAAATCCTGTTTACATGATACTCCATGATACTCCTTGTAGGAGGCTGGTAACAGCATTTGCCTTATCATAATTCTTCCCCTGCATGTGTTTTTGTTAATTAATCATCACTAACTTTTAACTAGGACTTGCATTGGTGGCTTGATGCTTATACTTCAACACATATACATATATGTACATATATACTGTAACACTTTGGGATTAGAGTTACGTCAGAAGTAACGTGCCAGCTTACTTTAAATTAGCATGTGAACTTTCTTTAAGAAGTTTAAGCTACATACACTACTCAAAAAATAAAGGGAAGACAATATAACGTCAATTAAATAAATCGCTGATTGACAATCAATTTCACATGATGTGAGATTTGAGTAGACAACAGGTGGAAATTATTGGCAATTAGCAAGACACACAGTAAAGGAGCGGTTCCTTTCACACTCGTAGCATGAGACAGACACATCAGTACGAGCTGTGGGAAGAAGGTTTGCTGTGTCTGTCAGCGTAGTGTCCACAAGATGGTGGCGCTACCAGGATACACACCAGTTAATCAGGAAATATGGAGGAAGCCGAAGGTAGGGAGACAACCCAGCAGCAGGACCACTACATCTACCTTTGTGCAAGGAGGAATGCCAGAGCCCTGCAAGATGACATTCAACTAGCCATAAGAGCATTTCTGCACAAACGGTTAGAAACTGACTCCATGAGGATGGTATGAGGCCCCGATGTCCACAGACGGGGTTTTACTTACAGCTCAAAACCCTGCAGAACACTTTGCATTTGCTAGAGAACACCAGGGCAGGCAACTTTGGCACTGGTGCACTGTGCTCTGCTGAGATGAAAGCAGGTACACACAAGCAACAGATGTGACAGACTGAAGACACCATGGAGAGTGATCTGCTACCTGAAACATCCTTTAGCATGACCGCTTTGGTAGTGGGTCAGAAATGGTGAGGGGCGGCATTTCTTTGGAGGGCCACACATCCCTCCAAGCACTCTCCAGAGGAATCATGACTGTAGATAGGTACAGAGATTAGATCCTAAGACCCCTTGTGAGACAATATGCTGGGTTGGTTGGCCCTTGATTCCTCCTAATGCAGGAAAATGCTTACACCTCTCGTGTTAGCCCAAAACTAAGCCTTTATTGGTTACTAAAATAGATTTCCAATGATGATTTTTATGTGACGTTGTCGTCAGCACATTAATCTTTGTACAGAGCGAAGTTTTCAATGATAATATTTAATTATTTCAGTGCTAGGATTTGTTATTTGAGTGTTTCTTTTTTTAGCAGTGTTTAAATCAAGGAGTGATGTGTTCATTTCTTTTTTTTTTTATTCACTTTTAGACGCAGCATTCAGTACGGTGATGTTTTTTAAAAAGTATTGCATTTATAAAAAGGTTTTAATGCAATAAAAACTCAACAAGATACCATTTTCAAAAAATGGTTTTATCACAGCTGATATAAACCCACTTTGCAAGGCTGCCAAGAAAATTGATGAACATAAAAGCAAAAGGTGTCTATTTTTTAGGACTTTTTAGTTGGTTTGAAAGAAGCACAATATAGTGTGACTTGATTATAGGTTTTTTACCTTTTACTGCAGTTTTAATTTATTACCTTTAACACAAAATACATTATACATTGTTTTTCATTAGTTTTAGTTAACTACAGTAACTATGATAAAGCAAAGTTAGGAAGCAACTAAAGGGATATATAGTATAACTTTATAATGATGCAGAAATTAATGCTTCATCAGTTGTGTGTCTGTAACACTGTAACCTGAAAGAGATCGTTTCAAAACACAATTTTTTATTTAGTTTTTTTTTTATGTGAGATTTTGTCTGAACTCTATTCACTAAGATATATAATCAGAGCTCTGTACTAATATAGAGTTATATTCTTTAGAGTGCACATCAATCTCTATGGAAAACTCTTCTGCATTCCTTCTTTTTGCTAAAATCTCTGACGGCGTTTCCGATTTGAGGTAAAGCAGAATATTTCTTACTGATTCTTACTTCAACCTGTTGATGCACTAATGATCACGTTATAATGGGAGTTTTTTATGATTGGTCTGAGATTTTAAATCAGAGAAAATGATTTATCACAAATCTGTCATTTAGATTAAAGCTATTATATTTTTGTTGTTTGTTTTTACATAATATCCTACTGTAGACAACCCCCCCATTCCTAATACTTAGTATTTAAATTATTGGTTATGAAATTTTAACTATATTAGTTTTAATCCCTTTATCAGAATATAGTAATACAAGCCAGACAGTTTGGCTTTAGTGCCTCCCATCTTGATGGGATTTCCCATCGGGATGCTAAAAGCCCCAAGGTTCTCTACCAGATCTAAGTTGAGCCCTTCTTATTAATTAGACAGAGCACCTTCCTGCTGAGTGAAGCAGGGCAACCAGCACTCCCAACCTCTATCTACCATCTTTTTCCATTTCTATCACCACCTGCAGCTACATTAGCTTCCTCCTGGTGTGTTAGGTGGTTAATTTGCCATAGCACATTTCATCCAAACAGTGAGCGCTTGTGTGTATGTCTGTAAGGGGTTTCTGAGCTGCAGGTTGAGAATGAATTGCTGCAGAGGAGCAGGGGAGAGCAGCTTTAACATACCCCAAGCATTATTGAGAGCGGTTTATTATCCATACGTCGTGCTGGAAACACAACATTCAGAATGAATTGGTGTTATGAGTTCCTTAGTCTCCCTATTTTGTGAGCTTACAGTATGTCAGTATGGGGGAGTGAAGGGAATCTGCACACTACTCAAGATGTTAAATCAGTGTGTTTGAGCCATAAAACAAATGATTATCATAGACAGAAAACTGTTTCTGCAATTCCTCATCATATCGTTTCTAAATTTTATTTATAAAGTAAAATTTGAACCAAAAATATAAAGATGTACGATATGCACAAAGTTTAATATTCTGTTTAACCAAATACTTAATTAATTTTTTACATTTAATTGAGGTTTTGTGTAATTCATGTTGGCTGAAATGTGTTTCAGCTTTTAGTTCATTAAAACTATTAAGCAGTGAAAGGAGAGGAGTTTTTAGACATGACCATATGATTTTCCCTTGCAATAGTCTTTACAGCTTTCTTTGTAAATATTAGTTCAGATTGTAAAGCTTTGCAAAATAAAAATGTTTTGTTTATTTTTTATTGCAGCAGTTGAAATAATGAAGAATTTATAAAATCCTCTTTGCTAGAAAAATTAAAAAATTCTATTTTTTTTTATATACTACTTTTCAAATCAGTATAGGAATTTTCTAATGAAAGAAAAAAATCAACAATGGATAGACATAACTTGAATCTGGCAAAGTAATAATTAACATAAAAGCTATGAAAATGAACAAATGAAAGTTAGACATTGCTTTTTAACAGTGCAATAACACAACGATTTCAAAAATAAACATATGAAACAGGCCTGAATAAAAATACTTGTACCCTTAGCTTAATATTTTGTTGCACAACCTTTGAGGCAATCACTGAAATCATACAATTTCTGTAAGTGTCAATGAGACTTCTGCCCCTCTCAGCAGGTATTTTGTCCCACTCCTCGTGAGCAAACTGCTCCACTTGTCTCAAGTTTGAAGGATGCCTTTCCTCAGTGACATGTTTCAGCTCCTTCCAAAGATGCTCAATAGGATTTATATCAGGGCTCATAGGAGGTCACTTCAAAGTAGTCCAATGTTTTCCTCTTAGCCATTCTTGGGTGTTGTTAGCTGTGTGTTTTGGGTCATTATCCTATTGATCTGCAACAAAGACCAAGCTTTCTGACGCTGGGAGGCAAATTTCCCGCTAGAATCACTTGATAGTCCTAAGATTTATTTTACCTTGCAGAGATTCAAGACATCCTGTGCCAGATGATGCAAAGCAGCTCCAGAACATAACAGAGCCTCCTCCATGTTTCACAGTAGAGACGGTGTTCTAGATATTTATTCGTTGAAAACAAAGTTGTCCCTGTCGGTCGTCTCTCAAACAATGGACGGTGCAATCGGACATTGAGATTCCTTGAGCTTGAAGCTCTCATTTAAGAAGGTTTCCGTCATTCCTCTTCTTTGGAAGGTTTTTGGGCTCTTTTGATACCATTCATTGTATCATTTTCTTTGATTTTTCATCAAATTGGCTTCTGCAGCCACATCCAGGGAGTTTGGCTTCAGCCCCATGGATCCTAAATTTCTAAATATGTGCAGCTGAAGTCACAGTTGCTTGGATATGCTCCTATAGTCTTTAGCTTTACCAGAATACTCTTGAGACCACTCTGTCCTTTGCTTCCTCTGGCCAATGTTGAGTGTGGTACACACCATCTCACCAAACAGCACAGTGA